GAGCCATCGGTGTACAAATTATGTATCCAAGTGGACGTTTCGAATTCCCGGTCCCAGTTGGCCCCCGCCAGTTGAATTCTACTTCATATCGTTTACACTTAGTCAGCGCCATGTCTTACCTTGGAAAGGATTTCGAGAGATTATACTACTATGCCCGCTAGTTAATTTGTCGGTGTATTCCTCGCACTTTCACGGACCATCGGCTGTCTGTACCCTAAGTGGAGCCCCTTTAGTTTAGTTACTTTATTTTCGTGATGCCTTAAATCTTTTATAAATTATCTAAGTCTCCTTCACACGTCACGATGGCCAACTTTTTTGAATGGAGGCTTCACTGTAGCTTCATGAATTTATGCGGCAGCCGCTCGAGTGGGAGAAGTAATTTTCTCTTGCAAACTTTTTACCAATCACAAATTTGGGCTACCAAAAGAGGCGACTATCGATGTGGCTTGAGTAAACTTCGCCACGTACGGCTACCTATGTACTTCTATTTTACAGATAGGCCTATACTATCTTAACGCGAAATTTGTGGTTGGGATGACTATTCTGGTGGTTGTGGACACCATGAACACATCGAAGCATCGTCCCATACTAGGATCAGAACAACTTTATGTGGTTATTGATTTTGTTCTTGTTTGTGTAACTAGCATCACATACATATGTATCCCCGAATGAGTTGATTTGACTTCTTCAAACATACACGCCAATAGAGACTTTTGCACCAAAACGCTTCGGGCGATAAATGTGTGGGAAATAAGTATGTATAAAGCCTACAATATCAATATTATGTATGTTGTCGTTCCGGAGGTATGCCTTGTGGCTCGACGGATATTTAGCGTCATATTATCCACCAAAATAGTTCATATGCTTCCTTGAATCGTCGAAGAGGCATCAAAAGCCTAACCAAAACCGTCAGCGTGGGACTTCAACCGGATTAGGCTTTTTTGCCTCAAAGTTTATTTGCCGGCGATATTACCGTTAGGTATTTCGGACGGACGAGGATTTGAACACTGAGCTCTCTCGTCAGTGAAGGTGCCTAGTTCAATTCGGGATAAGCTGCACCAACTAGACACTCCCTACTGTTGGTCATTCAATCAACCTTCTGTACCAATTTTACGTCACCGCCCCCGTTAAAAGCCAGCACACAAAAATTCGCGTGTTAGTCGATATTTTCGGTGTCTTCGTTCGTCACAAAATTTGCTGACCTACCGTGGAGAACCTCTTCTTCCGCATTAATATATGGATAGTAAAACGCAGGTAGATGGAGGTGTGTTCTGCAAAAAACTCTCCATAAGCCTGAAATTTAGGTTACCGGATCACTGCAGCGTCTTCCAAGCAGAGGCAACAAAATAAGCTTCGGATTGGTTGCTCTCTAGTGTAACACCTTTTAAGAAGGTGAATATTTATTCCGACAGCCAAGTAGCTATAAAAGCTCTTGGCTCTTTGACGGTCACAGAGTGTCTGAATTCCATATCGACCGCATCGGGTTTCTCCGCTGTAAAGCTTATTTGGGTTGCAGGTCAAAGAAAAATCGCTAGAAACTGCATATCGGATGAGCTGGCATGACAAGGAACCTTTGGAGAACTACTTCTGAAGGTTTGAGAGCTCCCCTGACTTCGTGTGGTCTGCTTCTGGACAGATGGGCGTTTCGTCAATAGGGTTTTTTCCAGCAAAGTGAGTTCCTTTCGACTTTGAATTATACTAAAACGGATATCGTCTAAGTAATTTTTAGATTACAAGAATAACCTCATCTTCTACTCCAAAGTTGAGCAATTTTCGGAAGTATCCATTGATCTGGTTAGTTAAAACAGCTGTGGTTACCAAAAATGTGGTTTCAACACAGATTCCAAATCGGCCAAAAATAGATGAATATAAGATGCTGAACACAATGAGTATAACAACAATGTGGACAGTCTAATATAATTTTAATTTTGTAATTAAAATCGCAGAACTAATTACAATAGATCAGATTTTATATCTTCATCTTAAGAAGATTTAATGGCGGTAAACTTCACTAAGGATGTATTTGGAAGAAAACAGTGAATGTTAAAAACTCCGCTGAATGGCCAAGAAACTGTCAAATAAACAAAAATTACTGCCAAATAAAAGAAAACAAGAAATAAATAGCTGAAACAAAACAAAAACAAAAAGTAAACGGAAATATCAGTAAATGCTAGAAGTAAGGAAAGAATGCGAAAAAAAATTTAAGAGGAAATAACGGAAAGAGTAATCACTTTAAACACAACAAAAATAACAAGCAACTTCGCGAAGCTCCTGGATTTTGCAAAAATGCGTTGATGTAGGCGTAAGACAACGAGAATGAGCTGAGACTGAGATGACTACTGCGTGCGATAATCTACTGGAGGTATTTTGGATATTATTACGCCACGTTGACTTTTATGACATTACACACGACTTAATGTCATTTAGGTAATTGTGGCGTTCAGGCATAACGTATGTAAATACATATGTATGTATGCATGCGTTCTGTAAGAACACGCCCACATACATATGTACATATTTAAGTACCAGCTAACTCCAGTGGCAAAGGCAGATAGCATCACAGCAAGTAGGCGCGTTTGATAGGATAATTTACACGGCAGGCACTTGGCCTGAATACCAGTCCATGCATAAAATTTGTCCGCTCAGTTGACATAGCACGACTCGTAAGCAGGAAGGCCTTTATTCAAAGCAGGATGATGATGATACAGTAAAAGCGTAAAAGACGCGAAAACATATTTCACTCACTGTTGCAAATGGCAAATGGCATGAAAGCGCAGGCGAGAGAAAACTAAGCAAATACAGACGCAGATGATGTTGTGTATTTGTAAATATATTTACACATGCGTAAGCATTTTTCAGTGGCAATTTCAACGAGCAAAGGCCACCACCACCGCGCACATACTTCAAGGTGCTTTGCAACTTTTCGATAAATATACGAGCGCGCAACATTTGTCTTGAAAAATTACAAATTGTTTATTTTTTTAAATGAATTTACGAGCCTCACAGCAACTCGAACCCATTCAAATATTCACATTTAGATAAGATCATTCATTACATGCAACTACTTTCATGCAAACAGTCACACTGGCGCCCATGGACACCCCCTTAGGCGATCGTGGCGGCAATCAGTCGTATTTGTATATTTATTTTCTTTTAAGCGCCGTTTGCATGTTTTTCTTGCACTAACGTTTTACAATAAAGCATCCGTCAAATTGCATTTTCTAGTCATTTCAATTTTGGATTTCGTAGAAAATTGCGCTCCATGTCTCGATCTTGGCTCATTGTTGTATGTTAATTTATTTTCTCAGCACCTTCTAATCGGCAATAAAAATTCTTGAATCGTCGAAAAATGCAATTTATTGAAGAAAATTTTCTTATTTAAAATTGGAAATGTTAAATATAAAACTTGAAATGCTAGTGTCCCGCAGTCACTGTGTGCCATTGCTTGACTTAGAACTCATAATAACAAAATTTTAAACACCATTAACGTAATAAATTTCAACTCGCACATCTTTAATTTGCGTCCACTCGCCGGGAGGTGTGTAAGCGACGCACTCTAAATACATACATACATATCAGGGTATTAGAAAAAATTTAAAAATTTAGAAAAAATTTAATCAGTTTGAAAAAAATTTGTCATCCAGTATTATTAAACAAAAACGGAAAAGATTCAAAATATAACTTAAGAACAATTTAATTCAAACAAAGATTTAAATAGAGTTGCCAAATTTCTAAAATGTTACTAACCTTTTGGCATAAATAGAACTTACTATCAAAAAGTAGCTATAGAACGACAGATGCGTTTTGACCAACACTTGAATATAAAAATATTTTTAAAAAGAGTTGCCACCTATATAAAATGTTGCATAACTATAATATGCTAAGAATACTAAGAAATGTATGTTTCTACAAGAACTGTTTAAATTAAAACTATTTTCAAAAAGAGTTGCCAAATGTCAAAAAATTAAACTGAAAAATATGTACGTGTTTTGGCACACTTTAGCAAGTATAGCTTATATGAAAAACGGATTACTATATTTTCAACCAGTGACCTAACTATACCCCAGAAATATGAATGCTGTTCTTTACAACTTTTGAGTAAAGACCAGTGCATTTATCAACAGAACAATTACAATTTGGTTGAAAAACAGATAAGTTTGAGAGTAACCATAAATTAAAGGGCTGCCAGAGATGATACTTGACTTTGTCGTTTGCGTTTACAAAATCATTATCTAATAATATCCACCAAACCTTTTTGCTGAACCCTGCATTTTGAATAAGAATCCGTCTTATTCGACCAGTGTGCTTTGTGTCATTTGGGGGTCGAGTCGCGGGCTCTTGCCATTAAAATAAATGATTAATATTTTACAGGCTTGTTGTTGAACAGATGATACAATATATTTTCACTATTATCAAAGGATTTGAGAAAAATTAAATTTTCGACCCGCCCTAATGAACATTCTATTCGAAAACTTCCCAGAGTTATTAAAAAAAGATAATTATAATTTTTCCGAGTAAAAATTTCGGCATTTTTTCGCCTAAATAAACGTTTTAAGACTAAAGTTTTTCACATACTTGATTTATTTTTTATTGTACTCGTTTCTGGAACTCCATTGATTGAAATATATGCAAGAAGAGTGCTTTAGCGTTTTTATGTGTGTATAAAAGTATACAACGCAAGCTACGAAAAGCTTTCGTACATAACTTCTTTAACAGTGTTACCACATTATTAAAAAGTTCATAAAAACTAAATGCGTTGAGTATAAAATTTAAACGGGTATACTGTCTAAGATGCATTTGTATGTATGTAATATATGTGCACGCCTTGATTATTATAATGCAGACAAATTTCTCTTCATTTTGTAAAGACACAAATGGATGATCGCCAAATATTTGCTTCCTGATTTTAAATGCAAATGAAATGGATTTCTCTTAAAAACCTACATACATATAAGGCTGGTGTAAATGTATGTATATGAGTGTATGAATGTAAATAAATAATTTCAAAATAAAATTTTTCGCAAATTTATTTGCGTTGGATATTTATTTGGCGTTGTTAGGCACGTACTGTCGCTTACATACACATTTATGTACATACATACAAATGTATTAGCTGCATTTATAGATACTTTTGAAAATTTTCTTGGAAGCGCAGCGAATTTATTGGAGCGTAAAATTGCAACGCAAGCAAATGGAAATTGACAGGCAGAAGGCGTAGGCCGAAAATTCTATGCAAACTTTTTTTTTTTCTCTTTGTATGTTGTATATGAGCCTTGTGCAAATCTATAAAGTATATACTTTAGCCAATGAGAAATGCTAGAATTTTTTTAAACATATCAGCGTATTTCAATATGAGTATCTACTCGTACTTTATACGCCAATATTTCTCATCATATCTAAGTATCTGCAAACCTCTACAACTCGCACTCAAAATGTGTCTCAATCTTTCAACAATATCTTTCTCCGCCTTTTTGTACTTATTTGCAGGAGTTCACTTGCGACGTTTCCGTCGAGGGTGGCAAATCCACACAACCACTACAGTTTTCCTTCACCTTCTACGACCTCGACGGCCATCATGGCAAAATCACAAAGGATGACATTGTCGGCATCGTCTACACAATATACGAATCGATCGGCAAGTCAGTGGTGGTGCCGCACTGTGGCAGCAAAACAATCAACGTCCGCCTCACTGTCAGCCCCGAGGGCAAATCAAAATCAGCCGCAGCCGCCGCCGCCGCCGCTGCAACAACTGGTGGTGGTGGTGGCGGCAAGTTGAAAAAGATGGCCAACGGCGCCGGTACTGGTGCTGGCATATTGGAGACAGCGACAAAGACAAACGCCAGTCACAGCGGACATGGTCATACACGTCGTCAGCATCGCTATCGGCCGCGCAAACTAATTAAATCGGATGATGAGGACGATGACAGTAACAGTGACAAGGAAAAGGAAGCGCCGACAACTACAAGTGCCGCTGCAGCTGCTGCCTTGGCGGTTAACAACAGTGTGGGTGGTGGCGCAGTGGGAACGGCGGCGATGGCAGCCACAACTGCAGGCGGCAAATCAAAAAGTCATTCCAGCGCCAGCAAGTACAATAAAATGAAGGCCTCAGCCGCGGCGGCAGCGGAGCAGCAGCAATTGTGGTATCAGCAGCAGCAGCAACAACAACAAGAGATGGAGGGAAATGCGGCAGACCAAGAGCAACAGCAAACACCACCACACATCGTTGCTTCCGCTACTGGTGCTAGTGCTGATACGACGGGCATTTACCCACACGAGAATCTCTATGAGAATATGACTACAGCGAATCTCAAATGTTGCACGAAGGATGCACCATTGCTGAAAGTGGAAGATTGTCGCGGCTGTGAGGCGACAACGACGACGACCACGTCAGTTGTGGCGAGTGGCGGTGCACTGCCACTTACGACGACCGGCTATGGGCGCTTACCAACGGATGTGTACATGCGACAGGCGTCTACGCGCGTCAAAATGCTACGCAAGGCGCGAAAACAAAAGGTAATTAATAATCCCTTAATGAGTGTATATTTGTTTGTAAGAGTATGTGAAAAGGTGGCAACAACATTGCAGAAATTACAAGAGGAAACTGTGGAAAATTAAACGGAAGTATTGATATTGAATAATTGCAGCTCAACTATGATTTATAGGTTTTCGAATTCGATTTGTTGTTGCCAAGTTTCATTCCTCTATTTGTAAGGTAATGCAGTTATTGATGTTTATGTGCACGAAAAAAAAGCCTTGTGGATGCATGTTTTATCTTATTTTATTTGAATATCCATATTCGGTTTAAATTGTATGCAATGTCGCCACTAAAAAATTACTTTTAATAAAATTTAGTGCATAAATATATAAAAACCTAACCAAAATATTTAGCTAAATAACAGACATGCCTAAAAAATATTTCATATCGNAGGTTTTCGAATTCGATTTGTTGTTGCCAAGTTTCATTCCTCTATTTGTAAGGTAATGCAGTTATTGATGTTTATGTGCACGAAAAAAAGAAGCCTTGTGGATGCATGTTTTATCTTGTTTTATGTGAATATCCATATTCGGTTTAAATTGTATGCAATGTCGCCACTAAAAAATTACTTTTAATAAAATTTAGTGCATAAATATATAAAACCCTAACCAAAATATTTAGCTAAATAACAGACATGCCTAAAAAATATTTCATATCGATACCTGAGTGGCAGAATGACCTATCTCAGCAGCCAGTTCGAAAATGCGCTATCTCAGGACGTTCTTCAATCAAATACTGAAGTACGGATTTCTTGAAAAGTTTTCTGAGATAGGGCGTTTTCGAACTGGCTGCCGAGATAGGTCGATCTTCACTCATATAACTATAAGCCCAAGGGAGTGTTTATAATGGCAGTTTGAAGTTGACTTAACGCCCTATTGCCGCGCCAAAGGGAATACTCAACACATGGATAGTGATTTAACTACTGCGCCCAGGACTTTGACGCCGAATATTGTTATTGTTTCCTTTTGTCATCTACTGAAGAGGTCATAATAACGACCGTGACATTATCATCTACACATATTGGAAATATGTTGGGTGTATCGGAATTGATTCTGGACTAAAAAGTGTTTGACTTTCTACAACAACCAAAACGGAGTCAGGCCAGATTAACTTGTACTAATATCATTCTTAGGACGTGAGTTGACTAAGGTGTTAGATTGCTTCTAGGTGAAGGTTTGTCTATAGTCCTTGAGGCGCCTCAGCTTCCTTTAATTTTCAGCTGAGGAGATGCGTGCGGTAGAAACCCTGTAAGTGTTGCTTGTTGAGAGAAATTTTAGTCCATCAACTGGGAACGTAAGAACTTCACTATCTAGTTGGTATTCCAATGACATCATAACGCATTCCGTGGCGTAACTATTGGCGGCGTAATTTGTTGATTGCGACACACTAGTTCCCAGCGACCATTGGTCAATCGGCTTCTATAGTGTCTTTGCTCCAATTGCTGTCAGTGCGGAACCGGTCTTTACTTTGTTGGCGATAGCGTTTAAGTTCGCGGAGAAGCAGAGCAAGCTGTCAAACGTAACGCGCCAAATTTTGCACTAGCTTAAGTCCAGTTTCTTCTTCGTTCAGGTTGCAAATAGAGTCGTCATACATTTATTAGGGAAGGCATTATTTTTAATTCTGTGAAGAATCCGGAAATCATCAATGTCATTTCACTAAGACGAAATCAGAAATAATCGGGGTATGAGATCAAGCACTCGCTCTCTGGCCGAGAAAAGAGTTTTGCTTTCATTTAGAGGAAACCATTTTGCGGAACCACCTCATAAATTTGCCTCAGTTTTTAAGTCGAGCTCGAAAAGAAACAGATTATTGTCCAGCATTCAGATATCCCAAATTTTAGCTGAGGTGAGGGGGAAGACCTTTTGTGCCTTTATTACTGACCCTTCGAGCAGGACAAGTGCTCTTTAGTGTTGTGCTGAGTTGTCGGTAGCAAATACTCGTTACCCAATACTTTGAAAAGATTTCGGTACCCAATACTTCCTTTTCGGTACCGAACCGATTTTATGCATTAAACCTCGTCAGTATATACATATTTTTCAAAAAAAATTTGTTTCATTGCTATTTTATGTGATATCGGATAAAATTTGAACTTAGCGCAACAGTTAAATACTATTTTACCTGTTATACATTAGTAGATCCAAGGATAAAAAATGGTTTAACGGATGAAGAAGCTTTTGAGGCCTTCAAAGATAATATCGTTCGATTCATGTAGAACAAAAATTCTTTAAACAAAGACGGTTTCTCTGCATTATGGCGACGGACCGACATAATGCCATCTCTAAACTGGCGCATACAGCGATAAGGAACTGTCCAAAATCCTCATGCCTATACTATTTTTATGTAGCATCCCACAATGACGCGACGTTAGCGCTAAGCAAAATGAAGTTAGATGCAGAAGAGGAAGGGTAGGGAGAGGACAAAAAGCGAAAGAGAAAACGAGAATAAAAATTAGAAGAAACAAGAAAACGTCAAAAATTACTACGCGTTGATTTGGTTTAAGTAGCACGCGCTGGCACTCGTTGCATTGGAAAACGCATCGCTTGGCGCTCCAATTTAGGGACGGCATATACATACCTATATAGACTTTTCTGTTGAAAAAGTATTAAAAGCTCTATTACGTACATTCGGCTTTTATAATGAGTCTCCCCTGAACCGCTTTTTACATATTTTTGGTATATGTGTCCATTTAAAATAGCGACTCAGCACATCACTACTGCTATTAACATTAGTTTCGAGACTCGATCTCGGCTCACGTCGACTAAAAAATTCATAGATGGCTTAAACTCAGTGGTTACAAAAATGTATTTTTAATAATAACGTTCCCTGGCGTAGTAAGAGCCGCGTTTTTAATACATAAGCCCATATTGGGCTCAGATGATTTCCCTTTACTACCGAAGAGAGATATCAGACTATATGGCACCACAATTGTATCCCCATGTCCAAAACCTGTGCGAACTCTTAGGTAGAATCATTACAGGGTTCCGAAACGTGTTTTTTCCCGCTGGCCTTGGTGGTGATTGCGCATAGCAACATGGATACTTTTGGTTGATTGTTGGTTTTAGTGCTTCCTAGTAGTTACCTTGGATACAATTAGCTTATTTTGCCTTCAATTGGATAAATTTTTTGTAAGACGTGAATTTTATCTATGCCCTGCTGTCTTTTGCTTAATATTCGTAAGGCCTGATAATTCACATTGGAGATGGTGGACCCATCTTCTAGCTGGCAGCTTGTATGTTTACCTGAGCGTCTGTGACCAAAAGTATTTGAGATACAAATTTCATAAAAGGAGCAAGTACGTCTTCTTCCCTGGGTGGGCTAGGTGCAAAGTTGAGTAGAAAACGAATCTTTTAATGAAAAGTCCAAAATAAGTCGAAAACTTTTGATTGTTTTTGATTATTGACTAAGGAATTGCCTTTTCTTAAAATTTCATATCTTTCACTTAAATTTATTTGAACAAATCGAGTAGGTAAGAGATCTGAGATTTAGGAAAAAGCTTTCCCTTAGTTTTTATGCATACGGTCCATTATAAGTAGTCAGTGAGGTAATCTACTTCATTAAAGAACCGAATATTTTCAAGAAAATAGGAAACTTAGATATTTTAAAAATTGTTTGGCTATCTTAATTCTATGTACCAATGATCCTTCCTTTACAAACACAAAATATATTAAAAGGAATCACAGCCAAATTCATTCATTATTTTTTGAGTTAACGCAAAACGAAAATGAGGCTTGCATTTACAATGTATATGCATGTATAAACGTATCTATGTATGTATGTGGTAGACTAATTTTTGCTACAGCTTTTTTGTAATTCTAAATTTTAGTTATACAGTTTTTATCTTAAATTTTTGTATGCATAATTTTTATTTCATTTTGTTTTCTGTTTTCTTTTTATTTCGTTGCATTTTCAACAAAATGACGTTGACGGCCACCACAACAACTACAACAATCACTACAATCAACCTCAATACCAACAACTTGCCTTACATTACATTGATTGCATTGCATTAAAATCATCATCTTTACTGTTATTGCATTTCATTCAACTTCATCTCGCGAAAATCCCATTCATCCTTTCATGCA